TCTGGTCCAGCGTCTGGTGCAGCCCCAGGTTCTCCTCCTTGGCCTGGGCCAGTTTTTCTGCGGAGAAAAGGAAGCAAAGACTTGAAACACGTTCCCGTTTCCCGGACTCTTCTCCAGGCAAAACCCACCACTCACCTTCCCGTTCCAGACAGCTGGGGCCGCGAAACGGCCGCTTTTTGGGGAAATTGTGCTCATTTTTGGATGCGCTTTGTGTACAATGTGACAGACCCGGGGGTTGATTTAAGGTGGGATTTACAGGGCTCATCCCTCCGAGTTGGGTCCTGAGAACTTTTCCCCGGGCGCACTCGGCGCCTTTCCCTGCCACACGCATCCTTGGGAACGCCGTGGGGGCTGGCGTGAGGTGCTGCACCCACCGTCAGTGACATCACTAGCGTATCTCCGGTGAACTACAAGGAAATAAGCCCGAAAGCGGAAAGGTAGAGATCTCGTTTTTATTGAGCTCGGCTCTCCCAGAGCGGAGTGCAGGATCGCTCGCGGAGTCGCACGGAAGTGACAGGTTTTACAGGCAAGGAAAGCTCAAGGAATGCAGCGAGTCAGAGCAGCCCCGTGCCCCCCAGGTGCCGGTCACAAGGAGGTCATGTCATTGAGGGCATGGTCCAGCTCCTCGCTGATGGCTTTGTACTTCAGCTTCTGAGCGTACAGCTCGTCTGGGCGGCGCGGCAGGAAACGCAGAGACAGTCCGGAGGAGGAGGCGCGCGGTGGGAGACACAGAGACAGGCAGAGGGCAGCGGCCAGAGCAGGCGGGAGGAAAAGGACAGAGAGAAGAGATGCGTAACTGAGTATCGGCAGGAAAGCGAAAAAGTCCCCGCAGCTGTCAGGTCAGAAGCTTCATCGACATTTCCTTTTTTTTAATATCAAAATAATTGTTCAGGAATCAGATTAAGTAGGGTTATGATCTTGTTACTAACAGAAAGAGCCCTTGGGTCCATGTATCTGTCACGTGGCCAGAATCAGGTTATTGTCACTGACTTTTTGGAAGAGAACCTCCTTCAGGAAAACCTCCTCTGCTCAGGAGGTCCCACGCGGGACAGACGTGTCCGGTGGCCCCATCACTCCCACCTACCAGCACACGTGACGAGCGCTTCTGTCCCGCTCAAATCTAACACCCACTCCTCCAGTTTTGTTTTCTGATTTGAAACGGAACACTTCGAAAGGAACCTCGAGTAATTTCCTACCTTCCAGGTCATCGATAGACTTTTCCAGTTTGGCGACGGTTCTCTCTGCAAATTCAGCACGAGTTTCAGCCTAAAAAACATGAAACAGAGTAACTGGATGCTGTTAAGAAAATGATGCCAAAATACAGTCTGGGGATGGACAAACTTACTTCTTTAAGCTTGTCAGAAAGGATCTTGATTTCTTCTTCGTATTTATCTTCTTTTTCTGAGTACTGTGAAAACAACAAACGCTCTTTAAGGGGAGTTGTAGTAACAACAATAAATGTTTATGGAACCGTGACCTGTTTACAATCACTTTTCCTTTCACACCAGCTGCAAACCCCTTTCCGTGCTTCTCTTTTCCTTCGTGCCTCACCTCACACCTGAAGGGGCATCGCCCACCTCGTGCAGCACAGCACAGCCGGGTGTCAGGGGACAGGGCGCCTTCCGTGCCAATTCAGTGTTTCATTAAACAACCGCTTAACGAAGTCAAGTTTTAACAATTGTCATTATGAAGAGGGCAAAAACCACAACAAGAGCAAGACGAGAAAATGGAGAGCAGTCAGCAGCATACTGGTGTGGGAAACGGAGATTTGGGTCTGGCCTGAAGCAGCGCTGCAGATAACTTTCAGATACTGACTTGGGTTTGGGCAGAACTGATTCGGTGTTATCCACAGGCTCTGTTAAAGAGGAGGCAGCTAAAGCCTTTCACTTTCTGTGGATTTTTGGATGATTTCTACAGATTTTATTTACAAGTTTTGCCTTTGCCCCTACCCCTTAGTTCACTGAAAGAACCAACCTTTTCAGATTGAGCTTCCAAAGACTTGAGGTTGTTAGTGACGTTCTTTAGCTCCTCTTCAAGGTCGCTGCATTTACTACAGGGGGAAAAAAAAATATAAATTACTGCTGTGGCTCTTAAGATTTAACTTTAATTTTCAAGAAGTCTAAAAATACAAGAGATGAAGTAATTTTAAGTCTGAAAGGAGAAAATTTGGTAGAAAAAAGCTTTTCTACAAGCCTGCCCACCAGTAGTAGAATTTTTTAATGACATACAGCTTTGGCCTTTACTGTATTCTGAACTGCTTCCATGAACATGGAGTTACTCACACTTCGGACACCTCTGCACGCTCTTCGGCTCTCTCCAGTTCACCCTCCAAAATCACCAGTTTACGGGCAACCTGCACGAGACAGCAGCCGTGTCACGCCAGTCTGTGATTTCTCACCCGTTTCTCTCCACGCGCTGCACTCGTGCTTTCCTTCCGAGGGACGGAATCAGGTTAAAACACAATGCACAGACATAAGTTTTTTCCCCAAATCAGTTAGATTTGGCATCATTTTTGGCATTAAAGATCTAAACTCATGATTGAAGTTACTCCTTTTTGGGAACGTTTCCAAGTCAAAGCGTCGCAGTGAAGAGCGTTCAGAGAACGACTGAGCTGAGGACTGGAAGTTGTTCACAGTTCTCCCACCTGTTCAACCATTCCCTCATCCCTTTTACCTCCTCGTATTTGCGGTCGGCTTCTTCAGCAATATGCTTCGCCTCCTTCAGTTGCATTTCCTGAATTTCCATTTTCTCTTCATCTTTCATGGCTCTGTTCTCGATAACCTTCATTCCTCTGCAGAAGTTAAGGGGAGTTTAATGTAGAAGCATTTTAACACTTTTATCTCAAAGGTCCCGAAGTAGAATTCAATAGCCAAGAAGTGCCCACTGTGACCATACTACCACGTTCTTCAAGGCAAACCGAATTACTTGTGCAAGCTTATAAAAAAGTTCTGAGTCTCTGACCTGCAGCGCGCATTAGCACGGGCAGATACTGAATTAGACAGGAGTATTTTATTCATATATGTTCAATTTTTCACAAAAAAAGCAAGAAAAAACAGAGGAAGCGTACCTCTCACTCTCATCCGCTGCTTTCTCAGCCTCCTCCAGTTTCTGCAAGGCCGTGGCCAGCCGTTCCTGGGCACGATCCAACTCCTCTTCCACGAGCTGGATACGTCTGTTCAGAGCTGCCACCTCCCCTTCAGCCTGGATGAGATACAACCATCCGGAATGGAGGTTATGTACAAGTGAGTCGCCGGCTGACAAATGTTCTCAACTAACCATTTTCCTTAAAATTGCAAAAGCTTCTTCTCCCGATACGCAGGGAAGCTCTCAGAACCTTCCTGTCTCTGCCTTTTGTTTGCTTAAACTATGGCATCTCAGGAATTTCAAGGTACGGAGTGTGTGTTTTTCCTTTCTTTTTGAACGGTACTTATCATTCCTGCCCTACAACGAAGGATTCCACACCGACTGCCAACAAAGAACTATTTTCAGATCACTTCACAGGGCTGGATCTACCCATGGGATTGAAAAGTTAAAAAACGAGCTGTTTCTGTACTGGCTGGTTTCAAAAACTTCACAGTTGCTTTCTCTGTTCTTCGTGTCATCACTGATTGCAGCAACAGTCCGTCCCAGTGCCCTGCTGGAGTTAAAGCCATTTCATCTCCCAGTACGGGCTCCTCCGCCTGCAAATGCTGCATAATCTTTATGTGGTCAGCTGGGCAGACACAGCTGGCCTCAGCACGGGCGAGTCGGTCGTCTTTGTAACACAAATAGGGCAAAATCAGATAAGTTCTTAAAATAAGTTTGCTTTTTCATTGCTTCCTGTGGTACTAGAGGAATGAGGCAGAAAGCATTTCTTAATAATAAGGTCTGTTTGTGTATTATTTAATAAACTGCATAGTAATTGGAAACTATTAATGTCTAAAAACCAAGGCTGGCTAGTAAATGAAGTGATTGTTGGGAGAATTGCTCGCATACAGACAGTATGAACAAACTGGTGTCCGTAAATACATCGAGATTATGAAGATTTGGCTCCTTTAATTGCTTGTTAACATAACCCCTTCCTTTAACGAACTGCCAGGTTTGTGCTCCTAATCGTCCCCAAATCTGAGCGTGATTGCTACGTACAAGATTAACTTTTTATTTAAAAAAACACAGTTACAGGCTATAGACCCTGGAAGAGCAATTGTTTTATGCTTTTTGTTAAACACTTGGAAAAAAAAATGTGTCTTGCTGCAGAGCGTCTAGAATTTGGTTACTGACCGCTCCTCCTAAGCTGGAGGAAGTGGTTTCCATTCATAGCTGTACCATCTTGGAAGGGATTTCAGTGACTGATCCAAATGGAAGCTGACCCAGGATTCCTCTAGTCATAAATTATCCAGTTTCGTTTGTTTTCTACCCAGTGCTATGTGTTTAACTTTCTCTATTTACACGCAGGGCATCGATCACGTAGAAAACTGGCACGTGTTATGTGCCAGTCTGCTACTTCTGCCACTAACAGGCCACTTTTAACTCGTATTTTAATTAAGCAAGATTCCAAAGCTATGGAGACGGGGCCACTGGGAAGCTGGAGTTGGTCTGGCTCCACCTCTCCCAGCAGCAGCCCGCAGTCCTTATACGGTAAAACTAACTCGCTGACATGTGATAAAATAGCAGGAAGATGCCGGGAAGGCTGATCACACACAAATCTAAGTGAAACCAGCTGTCCAGCCCCGGGAGAGCCGCACACTACGGAGAGTGCTCATTTCTCTGTGCAAACCAGGAGGGAAAGTTATTTTCCAGCAGTTCGGACATTTCCCAGCTGTGCTGGAGCCAGCGGTGCGGCGCCGAGAGGCGGGAACTCCGCGCTCGTTGTCATGCAGCGCTTTTTCCTAATTAAACAGCCATTTCCTACTAAACGCGTAAGCGCTTCCCGATGCTGATCGGTGCTCGCAACGGCTTTTCCCAAGGAAACGGCCCCAAAGCGCGATAAGCAGC